TAGAAACGTACCAATTATTCAATATAAATAATAATAAACTGTCATATTGAATGTTATGTTTTAATCTCTATATAAATGCGAAAGTTTGGATGGATGGATGTTTGTTAGAGTTTGTAGCCTAAACGGGTGAACAGATCTCGATGAAATTTTGGTATAGATGTAGAGGATGACCTGGAAAAATACATAGGCTAACTACTTTTTTTTATTTCACGCGGACGGAGTCGTGGGCGAACGCTAGTATTATATGTTAATAAAAGTTTCTGGTCTCTACGAGTTGAAGATACATTATACATTATTGATCGAAATAATAATCATATCCTATACCCATATCCTTACAACACTTGTGCTTTGAAAATGACCCAAAAACGGTCAGAAAAAGTTACTTCACGTTTAAAGCAGAAAATAAAACTGTCTAGACAAGTACATAGTTTGACACATGTAATAATTTTAGCTACAATATTTATACACATCTCTCAGAATCTAATGTTTATAAATCAGTGCGTTGTTGCGCCGATAGCAAACGTCATTATCAAGGTTAAATGCCAGATGCTCTCTGGTGCCGATGTCGCAGTGATCCGCTAATTAAGACAGTACGGCCCGTACACAAGGCTAATCTGTGATTTTAGTATCCAAACGACTTACGCAAGATAATTCCAAATGTAACCTAAGAAAAAAACTATTTTCTATTTCTATTTCTATCATACTAATATTATAAATGCGAAAGTTTAGATGGATGGATGTTTGTTAGAGTTTGTAGCCTTAACGATTTAACAGATTTCGATGAAATTTAGCATAGCCGTAGAGCATATTCTGGACGAACACATAAATTACTCACTTTTTTTAATTGCACGCGGACGGAGTCGCCGGCGAAAGCTAGTAACTTAATATTAGTTCATTTTTATAATTAATTCTTATGACTGTAACATATGTATTTCAAACCACCGTGAGCGGTCAAGCGAGTGAGAGTGAAAGCGATCCCTCAAGGTAGAGGAGAGTGAGGAGTTTAAAAAAAATGTCGCCTGCGCTCGCCTATGTAGGAAGTTGCTTCGATGCCAAAATCGCATAGCGAATACTTGCGAAGGGCCTTAGTTTACCAAGTTTATGTCACGATAGTAAACTGAAAGAGACAATAATAATTCTGACTTAGATTATGTCTGTTTAGCGAATTTTTAGCCACCAGTATTCAGGTACTAAATCGAATATACCGTGGATCAAACGTTCCATTCTATTCGCGTTCTTCGCTTTGACTCCATTCCAATAACTACATACTAATTAAGAAAAACAATACTTCGAAGGTCATATATTTATAACTGATAATAAAGAGTTATTCCTGGTAAACTACGTATGACTTGATACTGAAGAATAAAACGTACAGACACAATAACATTTCAAATGTAATTTATTATTTCAATCAGTCAAATTGTTTGCATCAAACTGTACTCTACCTAGCTGATGCTCGCGAATTTCTCTGTGTGAAATTAAAAAATAGGCTATATGTTACTCACTGATAATTTAACTTTTAATGGTGAAAGAACTTTTGAAGTCGATTCGGTAGTTTTTTAGTCAATTTAATAGTTACAAAAATCCAAAAATACAAATTTTTCGCTTTATAATATTAGTATATGTATAGATAGATACATTCTTGGTACGATTAAAATGCTGTAACCATTGTATTATTTAATTTGAATATAAGTCGAGGTTTGTTTCGATTAAGTTTTTTATTGTAGTCAAGCAGTGTAGCGTGCTCAAGGATATCGAATGAATAACTAAGTGTCACGTCTCATTAACATTTGTTCCTTCACCGAGATAAAGATCACGAATTATTAAGTCATTTTGCTAACATACCGTAATCTCTGCGTTTATTTGGTTCGGTTTAGATGACCTTGGATTACCTAGAAATTGAATTTAAATTTGATCTGAAATGTCCCTAACATTAAGTTAAATCTCAATAATTTACTGTCATGTGTTTTAAATTTAGCTTGGATTGAAATTTCTTCTAAAAGTTTTATTTATTGTATTTTTCCTTTGCAATAGTAAATTGTGTGTTTTTACTAATTTTGTGGGGAAAATCTAAGAATTTCAATGTGAAAGCGTTCTTTACTCTAACCATTTTAAAATAGACATAAGTGTTGAGGAAAAAAAAAAAACTTTGGCACAGTTTCTCGAGAGGTTCAAAACGCCTCCGCCTTTTTTGTGTACCAACCCTAACGAAGAACGCTCTCTGATATTAAATTTAACTTCTAGTAATATTTTAAATTTATGTCGTATTCAAATTCTCATCTCTCGCTTTTCATCCTTCGCATGCATTTGAGTAAAATGCACGATTACTCGAATCATAATTTCACTTGTGTAATAATGTGTTATAAAACCTTATTTTAATAGGAAAGATTAAACACAATTAAACATTTTCATACTAACGTACTGTCAGAGAAAATCGCGGTGTTCCACTTTGTCAAAAATTGCCTTGTCCATTGCAATGAGACTAACTCCGTCTCTTCCTACAAATAACTAATTAGATAACAGTGAGTACCAAAGGGTAATAATAAAAAGAAAGTAGGGGAGTAATCAATAATCGACTTTTTTTTCGTACAGATACATTTATAAGCTGCGTTGGATAGATTTTTGTTCCGCGTCTCGTTTCAAAATGTTCAAACGATTAAAGCATTGAGGTGGAACACCGCCAATGTCCCCGACTGTACCTTCTGATTAGTATTTTTTATTTTAATAAGTGAGCGAGACGTAAACATAAACACAGATTTGTTCCAGGGTCAAGAGCACATGACTCAAGATTCAGATTCATAGTACAAGTCCGGAACTGAGTTGAATTATTGAAATTAAATTCCTTTGAAATTGTTCATGCTTCCATGTATCATATTTTATACTTCTAGAAAATTGCAAACAATTGTACTATAGAATAAATTGTTTAAATTAATTAGGTTCCTTTTAATAAATTTGTAAAGATTTGTAACTTTCGGTTTCGTTTCAACCATTGAATTGAAAGACGTGCTTCAAATGTCATTGTTAAAGTGCCGCAATCAAGTTAAAACTTGAGTCATTAACAAAGATTTTAAATCGTATTGGTCCTAAAAGTCGGTTAAGCCGGGATCAATTAATTCTATCTCGCTAACTTAAGACCATTCGGCGACGAACGAGAATTTTTATAGTTAAACTACATACTAACATTATAAATGCGAAAGTTTGGATGGATAGATGTTTGTTACTACGTATCATAGTGTGAAACTCATAGGCTTACTGAGTTTTTTTTTTAATTCCGCACAGACGGAGTCGAAGACAAAAGCTAGTATACTTTATTTTATCTTTAAAAAGATTCGATATTTCTTCCCCGTGACTAAGGCGAGTTAGACAAACATTTGTAAACTTTTTAACGATAATTGTAGTTTTATCTACTCTGTAGTTTTTGTTTATTTTAGACTTAAATTCTTTTTACTCGTATAGTATAGTTAATAGTTAAACATAAAATTTATGTTCTTACATATGTTTGTGTGTACTTGTGTGTGTGGGAGTGTAAAATGACCGCGTAGTTAGAAATTGTTGACATTATCGTACGTGCACCGAAACCAAAATAGAGTCAATACGAAGTCATATATTATGTGCACCGCAGCTCAAATAATGCTATGGTCCAGTTCTTATAATGCTGCAAGATTATTTATCGTTGTACAAAGGAGTTATTTTTGCGTTTTAAAAAAGAACCTAAAAAGAAATCTCTAAAACGTAGAAAAGGATGTCAAAAGTGCCTCTAGTCGCTTCAAGAAAATGCCGTTTCGGCAGAACTGTGCCTTCAGATATTCAAACAATTATATTATTTACATTTACTTAAAATCGTAGTCAACAGTAAGTATGTGTAATTTTTTACTAACGCAAAGCTGGAGCCGTTTTTTGTTAATAAAAGTTGTATAAATTATAAGAAAACAATCGAGTAACAAGTCAAAGGACTTTGTTACGCACTGGTTAAAATTATGATTCTCATTTTAAAGTTGGAACAATAATGGCGTAACTTTTGTCAATCGTATCTAACTCTGGCTCGTTGCCACTGAAACATTGGAGTCATTTGAGCAAACGGACCGAAGTTCCTCAGTAAACAAGGGTCTTGTCACATAAAGATTGATGTATTTCTTTTATTTAATCTATACTATTATAATAAAGCGTAAATACACACTTATTTGTTGCCTAAGATGTCAGCAAGATTGCCATAGTTAGGTAATTGGTATTTTGACATTTGCAATTGAGAATTTGTTAAATGTAAACAATAAAGTTTTTACAGTTGCATGAGGATAAAGCCGCACGGGAATAGCTAGTAATTTATACATTTTTAAATTCACTTCAAATTAACCTTAATTATATTATTTGAATTGGAATTTCTTTTTCGACTTAAGATCGATAGATGGTAATGGCGATCTCTCGGTTGCATTTTAAAGTGCTATTAATTATATTAAATCTCCGAGAATTGTGAATATTAATCACATGAAGTGGTGACATTTTATTTTATAATCGAATATTAAGAGTACAAACTATAATTTCTTTATTCCGCTGCGACACGCTCTTGGCGCATCTACAACGCTCATTAAGGACAGATATTAGCATTTCACGTTTCAGCAAACTCTTCCTTACATTTTTAATACACTTAGCTTAGTTTTTGGCATTATGTTTAAATAATTGGAATTTGTAACTTATAATCTTTGACACATAAAATCTAAAGAAACTATAAACTATTTGAATACTAGATTAGATCGAATAAGATAGAAGAATTGCTTATTTTGTAGTCCTCATGTTGAAGTATGTGGTGAAGTAGTTTATATTCCAAATTATTAAATCTATTAAAATATAAAAATATCATTAAATATATTCGATAAAATACGAGCATGAAGGTTGTTAGTCGATTAATCTTAAGAAGCTTACACTATATTTTATTATAGCTAGTTTCAAGAATATTAAATAATCATGTTTAATACATTCAAACGCATTACAAAGTTGTAACTTACGTTCACGGTCACAAGTTTTAATAAAAAACTCCAATCCAAATTTTAATGTTCCACTTAAACTGTAATTCACATTAAAAAAAAACTTAACTTGACACTAAATGTAAAAGTACAGATAATATATTTCAGAACACAATACACGAAAACATACGATTATCGAGACAACGAGCGACAGGAGCTCACTCGGCGAGCGTCAGTAGCGAACTGACCGAGTTTCAAGCGAACAGATTTTCTCATTCGCATTTCGTTATCTGTTATTTGGCGCGAAAATGTTACGACGGACATTGTTTACTGTCGATTGATAAGAAATTTAGATTTTTCGCTCCATTTTTACAGAAATCTGTTTAATTAAGATCGAATGATGCGTGATTACGAATAGTTCTAAGAATTATCTTATTTATTTTGCGCTATTTTTTATTACCTATGACATCAACTTGATGTTGTCATCAGAAAAATTGTACTAAACTCTATGGTGGGAGGAACATCACCGTTCTTATTTTTTATTTAAATTTCAAATCTTAACTCATAAGGCATGTGCAACTTAAAATTAGCTAATTTAAGAAAAGAGTAAAACACTTTGTCAAAATCGTAAAGAGATCCTGCCTTGTTTTTTATGCAAGTATAAGGCTTTATAGTCAGTTCTGATTTACTGCTGATTTATTAAGATTTGAAGTGCCAAGGATTTTATCTGTTTTGATAGTTTTTGTCTCATACAATACAAACAAATCTATTAATATTCTTTAGGTAATTCAGTCAAATGTAACTATGAAAACAGAAATAAAACTTTACGAATAATTTCAGTTACAACAAATAGATATTTTGCATATGTACTCCAACTTACCGCAATAATATTCACAAACTATGTACCAATTATGTCTGAAACTTGGCACAAGTATTTGCAGTTTGACGAGCGCTGGAAGTGCACTCATAACTTTGCCAGCGCACGTCTCCAACACTAAAATACTACATACACGAGATAATTAATTGTTCATTTATTGTTGCAAAATGGTACGTTTTATATTAAAACAATTGCTTAAAATCTACTGCCATTAATTTTAAAAATATTCGGTATTTTCTATCATTGATTTCTAAAGCTATTAAACAATTAAATTAACATCTGTGGCATAGGATATTGTATCGCGAATCTTTCCTTTTAGCGAGTAACATCAACTCTAAAAGCTATTTTTCAATCATACTAATATTTTACTTACTTTACTTACTAATATTGTAAATGCGAAAGTTTAGATAGATGGATGTTTGTTAGAGATTGTGGCCTAAAATGCTGAACTCCATGAAATTTGGGATAGATGTAGAAGATAGTCTGGACGAACACATAGGCTACTCACTTTTATTTTTTTTTTAATTCCACGCGGACGGAGTCGCGGGCGTAAACTAGTCATTTTAATAAAAATTATAAAACGTTTCAATTATAGCAAAAAAAATAATGTTAAGCTGAATTATTTTGAATTATTTTGAAGTCTTCAATACATTCATTTTGCAAATATGAAATGAAAGCACTCAGTTTTATATTAAGCATTGAATTCTGTTTGGTCGGCTGCCAAGGATCGCGAGATCTAAACGGAAACGGCTATGAACTCACCGGGATATTTGAATACTTTTGGCGGTTCTTACATTATGGGTAAATATCGGATCGGAATTTCCTGAAGCATTTATTCGATAGAGTTTGTAAGTTTATATTGCAAAATGGTTAAATTTACCAAAACATTTATTCAAAATTATGTAATAAAATTAAAACCCAATGAAGACATTAACAAAACAAATTTAAACTATGGATGCCGCATTGGCCCTCACCGTGGTGTACGCGATGAAACTTCTTGTGGTTGAAACTGTCGCTTCAAGAACCTAGCAGCTATAATGGATGTGATCAAATAGCGATTGCTAAAGTTTTTAAGTTGGTAATTAAGTCATTACCAGAACTTATTGCTATAGATTTAGTCCATTACATACGATATCCTTTAAAATAATTATAGAAAAAGTTGAAGCTTTGTAATTAGCATCTGTTTAACTTATTTTCCTCCATTACAAGCAGTGTTTGGTCTGGACGTAGACAAAAACGTTCCCAAGTTCCACGAGAGCGGGGATTTGATAGCCATGATACGCGTGATTTATTCCAGCGAATAATTTACAACAATGACGCGGCATATCGTCCCCCTCAAGCGGCCTTTTTGTATGAAAACATTTTATAATCCATATGTATGATTTCGGTATTTTTCATGCATATATAAGTACGAGCGTTTTCGGTTGTTCCAATATTAAACTATTTTTGATTGCTTCTATGGAAACGAAGGGAGAGAGAATGCGAGAGAGAATAGTATAATAGGAAAAGTTTTACGCAACAACAACGTAACGTTGAATTTTAAACGGTCACTCGCATACGAACAATATTGCTATCTCTGATTTTTATGGAGAGACTGAACGAGATGACAATACTTTTGTACTACAGATTATGACAGTAGACAGGTCATAAAGATAGCTGTTGCTAAACGACACATGATTGATTGTATTAGCAAATGCTACTTAAAATCAGAATAACTCAGCTCTACTTTAGACCAATTTTTATGTTGCCGTTTATATGAGGTCAACTCGGGTGAGGGCAAATGTTGACTTTATATCCCACCCTCGACTAAGCGAAATATAGCCCTACTATTTCCGTAGTAAAAAGTGAAACGAGGGTATAAAATGCGCTTTGTTGTATGCATAGAATAATTTATTTATATCTGCGGAATGTAAAAAAAAAAGAAAAACATAGTAAAACTATTTAAAAATAATGTAGATAATGGCCTGTGTTCTTGCAGACTGCGTTCTACACATGGGCCAACTTTCATCGAGATCCAACAAGCTGTTTTGGAAAGGCGTGGTAAAAGACATCCATCAAATCTTTCTGCATTTATAATATTTTAAGTAAGTATGATTGTCTTTTTAAATTGTGTCTTTATTTCGTAACTCAAAGTATAATACGCTCTAACCGTTAATACCATATTTCTTTCGACTCTTTTAGACAATAGTTTCCAAAGTATTTTTTTTTATTTAAGATCATCTTACTTATTACTAATATTATAAATGCGAAAGTTTAGAAGGATGGATGGATGTTTGTTAGAGTTTGTAGCCTAAACGGCTGAACTAATCTCTATAAAATTTAGCATAGACATAGAGGATGGTCTGGAAGAACACATAGGCTACTTGCTTTTGTTGTTTCTTATTCGATGCAGACGGAGTCGTAGGCGAAAGGTCGTTAAGTTATTATTTTTATTATGCGACATGTTTTGAAAAGCTCTTTAATACATCGAGGTGAATGTTTGGGCAATGTGAATGGCTCTTTGTTTACCACCTTTGTTTCATGACGGCATAATTATTTCCGGAAATAATAACGAACCCGTCGTTTGTTCTTACTCTCATTCATATTGAATCAGACCCTCGGTACAAAGCTATGTTGATACAAGGAAGTATTTTTCTGTTAATGTTTTTTGAATAACAATATATAAAAATATCGATCACACGAAAAAAAAAAGTCCAATCACAAAATTCTGTATCTCAATTAACTCTAAGTCAAAGTTAAAACCAGTCTTGTTGAGAGTCAATTCTAATAAAAATATTTAATTACTTCTTAAAGATTATTCTTATTAATAAACAAATGACAATCGCACTATAGTGCATGTTATATGCAAATATAATTAAAATATTGTATTCATAAAATCATTGCTACATGTTTAGATAAGGTTTATAATTAGAACACTGACCGCGTATTTTTTTAACCTCATTTGAGAGCTTTAATAATGTCACCCAAAAACCCAGAATATATTAGCTATTTAAAGGTGATGTAATAAAAGAAATTGAAGTCATGGTTCTGTAAATAAGAGAACTACTATGTACTATTTTTATGTAATAGTGGACATAAATATATAGATTTAAATATAATAGATTTAAAGTTAGCAATGTTTAAATACTTTTTTCCTGGTTTATTCTTAAAAAGAGATTATAACTCGCGCTCTATTAAAAGTGAATTGCCTACTTTATATGCACTTAACTCTATGGCAGCTGACGAGCAGATTTAATACATATCATGGCTGAAGATTTGCATTTTTCACATCAGCAACTTCACTTCTCCACTTTGACGAGTTTGTACGATGACGGAATTTTAATGTAGTTCCGTATTAACTCAATTATTGTTGGACATGTGTGTGATAGAGAGAATTATTATTTTATTGTGCTGTCTATGATGTTTATAATCCTAATAGTTGCGAGAGAATGTCAGTCAAGGCACTAAGTCATTTGTTTAATGTGTTAGGTTCGTTATGAAAATTGGACATTTTGTTAGTATACTGTACTAGAAAATTAACTATAGAAATTTGTATCCATGTGTTTCCATAGCATGTTATCTTAGTTTCCTCCTAACAATGAATTTACTGTTTTTATAAAAACAAAGTATTACGAAATGACGGTTGTAAATTTAGTTTTCAAATTATTGGAAACTGACTGTAGTTCTAGAATTTATGTAAACTTATTCATAGGCACTCTACAAAAATTATAGAAGCGTGAAGTAAAAAAGTGTAGAACGTATCGCAATACTGAGCCTTCCCTACTGGGAAATCATGTAACCGCAAGTCGGGTTCGAATTTGTAAGATTAAATATTGAGTGAAATATTTTTTTCTTTTCGTTTACTCGTTTTCTTATAATTTAAATATTATGAATATAGATAAGTTTTGGGACAGTTTCAATCTTACTTCATATTTATATTATAAATGTGAAAGTTTAGATGGATGGATTTTTATTAGAGTTTGTAGCCTAAACTGCTGAACGGATTGCGATGAAATTTGGGATAGATGTAGAGAATAGTCTGGAAGAACACATAGGGTACTCACTTTAGAATTTTTTTTAATTCCACGCCGACGGAGTCGCGGGCAACAGCTAGTATATTATAAATGCAAACCTTTAGATGGATGGTTGGATGTTTGTTAGAGTTTGTAGCCTAAACTGCTGAATGGATCTCGATGATATTTGACACAGATGTAGAATATAGTTTTGAAGAATACATAGGCTATTTACTAAGTTTCTTTTTTTAATTCCTCGTGGATGGAATTGCAGGAAAACGCTAGTAAAAAAATGAATGTTGTCTTTTCGACAACTTCGTAATAATGTATTTAAATGGACAATTAAACTGCCAGTCGACTT